ACCAAAAGTATTGACTTTGGATGTTAAATATAGTTTGGTTCAAATTTCAGTTTTTCTATTTGCTAGCTGCATTAGGTATGGCAAGTTATGTAACTTCTCTTTTTAATTAAATAATCTAGTTAATACATCAACTCTCTAACAAGAATGAGGTGGTGTTCCATATCTGGTTAGATTTCTGCTGTTAAGCAAACTACCTTGGATTATAATTTAGTTTCTCAGGTAGATTTGTTAACTGGAAAACTCACTAATATACAACATAAGCATCTAATCTGTAAAACCAGAACCTTAAAAGTTATTTGAATGAAATCAGTTTCCAGAATCTCTTCTTCACTGAAAGCACAGATAAAATAAAATACAGATCCTACAGCATCACAGTCCTACCCTGGGAGTTGTACATTTCCCCAAATGCCATCATTGCATGGTAACTGAAATTACAAGACTCCTCTTCAATTATTATGCATTATAAAATAAATAAATTGTGCTTATTAGCTGATATTGACAGCTAATTTATTATGTGAAATTTCATGAGTCATACACTGGGCCATAAACCAAATCTCAGTGAATCTCAGATGATTGTTGTCATACAGGATACAGTCTATGTCCAAAACAAAATTAAATTAGAAACTAATAGCAGAAGGACAGTTTGGAAATCCCCAAGTATTCAGAAATCAAACAATATTCCTAAATAAACACTGGGTGAAAGAAGAAATCATGAGGAAAATTTTTGAATATTTTGAACTAAATTATAATAAAAACACAACATATCAAAGTTTGTGGGATGGAGCTAATTTGATGTTAGCCTCAAATGTTGATGTTAAAGAAGAATACAGATTTAAAATTAATGATTTGAATTTTCACATGGCAAGTGGAAAAGAATGGCAAATTAAACTCAAAGTAGAAGAAAGATAGTAATCAAAGTAATCCTCTAAAAGTCAGCAAGGAAAACTCATAAAGTTAAGAGCTGTTTCTTGGAAAGATTAATAGATAACCTCCTAACTAGATGGACTGAGCGGGGGAAAGGAACCATAAATGACCAAGAGTAGGCTAGGCATAGCGCCTACTATAGTGCAAGACTACTGCAAACTGCCTCCACTCCTGGCCCCCAACAACCCACCCCCGCACCCTGCCTTGTCACTGGAGCTCCACAGTGTAGCTTCCCCAGGATTTAACCTCCCAGGCCGGCAGCTCAAAGGCCCTGGGGCCCTGTGCCATGAGGCCCCAAGACTTGCCAGATCGTTGTTATCACCAGCACCCCTGGGCTAGTGACCTAGTGCAGAGATCAGTAAGAGAGAAGTTAACATTTAGATGGTCTCATTTATAATAACATTCCAAGCTTTCAGCCAGAAAAGGAATTTTCCCAGAGTCGTAGAATGGGCTCATTGATTTTTTTTTAATGCTTTTGAGTTGAATAAACAGCATGTTTTGGGGTGGAAATCAAAACCCCCCCAATTAATGGCCACTCATGACAATCTGTGTGCTCAGGCTGTATAATATCCAAAGTCACCTAGAAATGGGCAGTGAAAGAAAATCCATCATCAAACTGCCAGGCAACATTGAAACTTGGAAAACTGTGATCTTTTGCAGGTTTAAATGGTTTTTGAGTGTTTTCTCTTATTTTCAGAATTGAAAAAAAGACTTATGACAGTACCTCCTACAAAACAGAACTTTACATGAAATTGGAATTCCACCTTAAAAAAATTAATCTCAAAGGTACATTTGAAAAAAAAAAGCTTTTAAAAAAATGTCCAATTACCAAGTCTGGCTGAATGACTCAAGTGGTAAAAACACCTGCTTAGCAAGTGTGAGGCCCTGAGTTCAAATTCTAGTACTATTAAAAAAAAAACAAAACAAAAGTAATGTTCAATGACCAAATGGGGTAACAGCAGAGATTCTGAAGCCAGATTTCCTTGATTAGCACCTCAACTCCACATGTACTAGCTATGTATCCATAAGAAGAGTCCTTAATCTCTGTGTCCTGTTTCCTCCAATGTAAAGTGGGGATAACAACAGTATGTACCTCAAAGGATCGTAATAGGATTTAAAAATCAAATATTTATAAAGTGCTTAGAATAGTCCTTGGCATAATAAATGCTACATTAGTGTTAAATAAATAAATAATAAATGTATTAGATCAAATTTATTTTCATCACTAATCTTTTTGTTGTTCATTTATTCACATATGCATACATTGTTTGGGTCATTTCTGAACCCTGTCCTCCTCCCCCATCCTTCCCCCCACCCCCCAGTTCCAGGCAGGTCCTGTTCTGCCCTTGTCACTGATTTTGTTGAAGAAAAGACATAAGCATAATAAGGAAGGTAGAGTGTTTTTGCTAGTTGAGTTAAGAATAGCTATACAGAGAGAATTCTACTCTTGCTTTCGTGTACTCATGTGTTACGACCCATGTTGATTTAACTCTAACTGATCTGTACATTGGTTCCTGATCCCTGCTCATGATAACCTGTTGTTTTAAGGTCTCTGTATTAGCTCCTCTGGAGTGGAGACATCAAATGCTTTTATGTTTTGGATTTTCTACCTATTCTTATATCTCCCGTATGTGCTCTCCCCTTGTCATGTGATCCAAGTCCAACAACATTGCTGCATTTGCCCTAGATCTAAAGTCTGCATATGAGGGAGAACATACGATGTTTGGTCTTCTGAGCCTGGCTGACCTTGCTCAAGATGACATTCTCCAGTTCCATCCATTTACCTGCAAATGGTAAGATTTCATTCTTCTTCATGGCTGAGTAAAATTCCATTGTTTACAAGTTCCACATTTTCTTGATCCATTCATCAGTAGTGGGGCATCTTGGCTGTTTTCATAACTTGGCTATTGTGAATAGTGCTGCAATAAACATGGGTGTGCAGGTGCCTCTGGAGTAACCTGTGTTGCATTCCTTTGGGTATATCCCCAGGAGTGGGATTGCTGGATCATATGGCAGGTTTATGTTTAGATTTTTAAGAAGTCTCCAAATTTTTTTCTACAGTGGTTGCACCAACTTGCATTCCCACCAGTGTGGATTAGGGTTCCTTTTCCCCTATATCCTCACTAACACCTGTTGGTGGTGTTTTTGATGATGGCTATTCTAACAGGAGTGAGGTGGAATCTTAGTGTGGTTTTGATTTTCATTTCCTTTATGGCCAGAGATAGCATTTTTTCATGTGTTTTTTGGGCATTTGAATTTCTTCTTTTGAAAAAGTTTTGTTTAGTTCAGTTCCCCATTTCTTAATTGGTTCATTGATTTTAGGAGAGTTTAGTTTCTTAAGTTCCCTGTATATTCTGGTTATCAGTCCCTTGTCTGATGTATAGGTGGCAAATATTTTCTCCCACTCTGTGAGCGGTCTTTTCAGTTTAGAGACCATTTCTTTTGTTGTGCAGAAGCTTTTTAATTTTACGAAGTCCCGTTTATTCATCCTTTTTCTTAGTTGCTGGGCTGCTGGGGTTCTATTGAGGAAGTCTTTGTCTATATCTATTTGTTCCAGAGTGTTTCCTGTTCCTTCCTGTAGTAACTTCAGAGTTTCAGGTCTGATATTTAGGTCCTTAATCCATTTTGAGTGAGAGACATGGATCTAGCTTTCAGTTTCTTGCAGATGGGTAACCACTTTGCCCGGCAACATTTGTCGAAGAGGCTGTCCTTTCTCCATTGTATATTTTTGGCACCTTTGTTAAAAATGAGGTGGGTATAGTTGTGTGGAATCATATCTGGGCCCTCTATACTGTTCCGCTGGTCTTCATGTCTGTTTGTGCATCACTAATCTTTGATACAACTCAAAACTTCAAATTTGACGTTCAAAGAAAACATTTTAATCGAAGTTTTAAGACTTCCTCTTCCAAAAATTGGCATAAATCTCCCTCCCTTTCCACTTTCACCTGTTCTGGTTCCCATGTCATTCCCTCTCCATAATTCATCTGTGTGTGCCTTGGATTGTTGTGTTGACTAATTTGTTCTTACCTCTTCTCTCATCAGCTGGGGAACAAGAAAAGCAAGACAGGCACACAATGAAACTCTTAGGTAATAAAATTAATAGGTGTTTATAACTACCTAGAGCAAAAGTAAGTGGAGCAGGCAGAGTGTTTTCCTTGTGTTAGAGCACAAAGGCAACACACATACACACACACTGCCTGTTCTCTCTGGTGAGGGTTTTATCAAGAATTGTGCCTGTTCCTCATTGCCAGCTGTCATTGCCTCTTTGCCTGCAAACTGGAGGTTAATAAATATCCTGTGAGATTTAATGTGTTAATGCATATAAACTGCCTGCATAGTATGTATGGTGGTACAGCAAGGATATCATAAACGCTAGCTGCTGTCATTACTTTGTGGGAATAGGACTTTTCAGTTTGAATATTGCCTTTCTCTTACGAGCTTATTTCAAATAACTGCATGACTGAGAAAACCGAGGCGGTGGACGGCGTGGGGTGGGCGTGCTGCCTTCTGTAGGAAATGGGATTGGGAGTAGGAAGGGGGAAGATGGTGAATGGACAACAGGAGACGTTAATGATAACACAGAAGAGCAAAGTTTGCTCTAAAGTTCCCAGAATAAACTTGAGCATGAGAATCAGAGCAAAACCCCAGCGGTCAGTAACCCTAAAGCAGCTAACAATCGAAGGTTTCCAGAACCAGCAGGGCTCAGCGTCCAGCGCGGGAGACCTTTCCACCCGGGAAGAGCCAAAAGCGAGCGTGAGCACGGCGTCTACCGCACTAAGTTCCCCGAGAGTGGCCTCCACCCTGCGACAGACGGCAGACACCGTGGTCCTGCGAGGTATTTCTGCTCCTGGACTTGGAGGCATAACAGCCGCCGGGGAGGAGGAGCTGATGTCTTAAGGCCACCCAGTGGCCAGACCCGGCTGCCAGGCGAATTAGCACCCCATCTCCAGGCCACGGGGGCGTGGCTTTGGCGGAAGCCCCACCTCTTCGCTCCCATTGGCTGAGGCTGTCGCGGGGGCGGAGTCGGCTCACTCCATTCCCGGGACCCCGCAGCTCTTCCAGAACGTGGGTGCATGGGGAGAGGAGGCCCAGGTGGGTGAGCAGCGAGCGCCTGCCCCCGAAAGCCCGGTGCCCCGGTCATGGGGAGACAGGTGAGGCTGCCGCCGGGGGAGCCCTGCCGAGAAGGTGAGTGTCAGCGCCGAGCTGGGGGAGGCCAGGTGCGAGTTCCCGGGGTACTTGGGGAGACCAGCAAGATGTGCGACCCTTAGTGCAGTCATTCCTGTAATGATCGTTATTCAGTCGGTCCTTCCGTTGTCCAGCCAGCCGGTCAACACATATTTATTGGTGCCTCCAATACCCCTGAGTTTGTAGGAAAGCCTGAGTGGGACAAGATGTGTGACCCCCCCACACTTGGTCCTGAAGGCCGAGCGGTGTACACACAGGGTCCTGGGTGGGTGACGGGGAAGCTCAGGATGCTAAGGGAAGATCCCAAGTCTCATTTGGGAAGGACGTTTTCTCTGACTCAGACTCACTTCCAGAGCCCGCTGCTGACGTCACCCACTGGGCACAGGGCGTGTCGCGGACCCCGCGGGAGTCCCCGAGGGGTTGGCACCGGGAGAGGTCGCCCGCGCTTCCCTTCTTCCTTGGACACGAAATGTCACTAGCCCATTAGCCTTGCTTCTGACTCGCTGTGCAGTGACTTCTGGGCTGCTTAGGGCGACATCAGGACAGGAGTGGGAACCGGGAACTGAGCGCGCTCTGGTTACGCTCTCACTTCTGCTGCGCCCGGTGAGAACTGTGGGCGCGGCCCCTTTGCTCTTGGCCAGGTGTCCTGCGCCCCCCTCCCCCCTTCTCAACACAGAAGGCGCTTGTGAACCCGGTAGATTAAGGGGTGGGGGAGCGGCGGGAAGGGGAAAACCGATTTCTAACTTACCTGCTAATGACCTAAAGACAAAAGGGGCAGTGAGCGGCACAGTGAGAAGTATACCTTTGCAAAGTTGCTGGCACCTTCCTCGGTTTACTCTCTTCTTGGCTCTTCCAGTTTATTCCTTGATGGGAAAAGTTAAAATAAATAAAAGGGACACACTCACACGTAAAGAGAAAATGCCTGAACAATTCGTAACTATTCCCAAATAGAGATTGGTAGATCTAGATTTCCTAGATAGTCAGGTTGCTACTTTTTCTAAATAATACCTAAACTAGTAAGCCAGGCTGTTAGTAATACACCCTACCCTTGTTTACTCAAGGATCAGTTAGTAAGAAGGGTGTATGAATTGCACTCACTTGTTTGACTTCGGGGTGTTTTTCCTGTTTTACTCGTCATGCATTTAGTTCCAACAAGAAATATTCATACTCTGTGCTTAATACCAATGATTAACTATGGTAATTAGCTGTGTAGAAAACTGATGGGAAGATGAGAGAAATTAGAAAACATATTTTCAGTAGTGAGCAGAGATTAGGCTTTGGCCTCCATCTTCTCAGTTCTAACCTAGCCTCTTTCAACCTTTCTTCATGTATAAAAATGAAGAGTATTCCTACAGTTTATGGCTGTGAGGAGTAGGTACAGCTGGGATTTCATATGAGACACCAAATTCAGTGCCTGACATGGCATAAACAAATTATCAATTTTTTAATTTATTCAATGTTCAAAATAAAAATAATTCATTCATTGTTTAAAATTTGTATGTTGAGTCCTTAATTCCAGGCACTGGCCTAGACACTAGGAGAGAGGGATTTGCAAAATCCAGTCTAATCCTGGACTCCAGAACTAGGTCTCTGCTCTCCTGCAATTTACTGCCCAGATGCAGGAAGCAAATTAACTAAAACTGAAAAGATAGTAGTGCTAAATGTCATGGATTTTATTGAGCGTATTAGGAATGTTTAGATTAGATACTTACAGACCCTTAGTGATATTCAAGCTGAGACCAAAATGACAAGGTGTTAATCATGAGATCTAAGAATTAATCATTTCAGTTGGACTTCCATGAAGAAAAAGTTAATCCTGTACTTTGACTTTGAATTTTTAAAAAATAGATGCTTTAAAACATTTTCTAATCCAAAATTATTTCTAAAAACAAATTTAAATTTGTATGAAGTGTTTTTTTTCATTATTGTATATATTCTACAGAACTCAAATTGAGTCCAACATGGAAATATAATATCATGAAAAAAGAATACAAAAAATACAGCCATCACTCACAAAACTCAACCTGTATAAGTTTTATGCCAGGGACTATAGAGGGTTATGAAAGAACCAAAGGACAGAAAGACGGCTTCAACAAGGACAGATTTATATTCTGATATGCTAAAAGTCCTGACTGGTTTGGGGTTGGAGAGAGTAAGCTGGAAGCTGAGAGAATCCAGGTGTTTTCAAGGTTTTCTTTGATTGAGTGGGCCACTTTTCCAGGCTGCAGAGAGAAAACTGTCTTATATGGTATTTGGAGCTGATTCAACCTGTCTTCTTGGCCAACCTGTCTTTGGTTTCTAGAAGAAGTTAAGGAACTACAACTCTTTGGGAACTGGCTGTATCTCTGTCTTATACTGATTAGGACATTTCCCATATTCATGTAGATAATCTTAAAATTTCAAAAAGGTTTACATCAAATGCATCAGTTTATCCTCATACAAAATTAAAGTCTGTGAGTTTTATTATACAAGTCTCCATTTTATAAATAAAGAAACCGAGTTGAATATGGTTTCATAATTAGTGATCAAACCAAGTATAAAATTATTTGAGCTTGTTGCAATGGACTGGTTGTGTCCTTCCAAAATTCCTATGTTGAGTCCCTAATTCCAGTGTGATGGTGTTTAGGAGAGGGACCTATGGGAAGTATCTAGGTTGTAAGGTTGGATCACTCATAAAAGAGATTACAGATTGACTGTCCCTTGTCCAAAATGCTTAGGACCAGAAGCATTTTGGGTTTCAGATTTTTTTTTTTTGGACTTTGGAATATTTACATATATGCATAATAAGATATCTTGGGGATGGGGCCCAAATCTAAATAAGAAATTCATTTATATCCCTTTGGTGGAGGGAGATAATCTGTTTCTTTTTTTCTTAGTGTATATTAATTGTACAAAGTAAGCAGTTTCACTATTATATTTCCATACATGCATAAAATGTACTTTCATCCTCTCTAATACTCTTTCTTATCTCCTCTCTCCTGTCTTTTTCTCCTCCTTACACAGCCCTAGTGGTCCCACTTTCATTCTCCTGACTTCTTTTCCCCCTAGATTCCACACATGAGAAAAAACATGCTACACTTATATTTACAGGACTGGCTTATTTCACTTAGCAAAATGATCTCCAGTTCTATCCATTTACCTACAAAGAACCTAATTTCATTCTTCCTCATAGTTAAATAAAACTCTACTGTATAAATATGCCACATTTTCTTTATCCATTCATCAGTTGATGAGCAATGAGGCTGATTCCATAATTTGGCTATTGTGACTAGTGCTGGAATAAACATGGCTATGCAGGTATCTCTATAGTAAGCAAACTTTGATTCTTTCAGTAGTTGTACGGCTAGATCATATGGAAGTTCTATTTTTAATTTTTTGAGGAACTGCCATACAGATTTCCATAGTGACTGGACTGATTTACATTCCATCAGAAGTGAATAAGGATTCCTTTTCCTCCTAATCCTCACTAACATTTGTTGTTTTTTGTTTTCTTGATGCTAGCCATTCTTACTAGGGTAAGACAGAATCTCAGTGCAGTTTTGGTTTCCCTGATGGCTAAAGATGTTGAACTTTTTTTCATGTATTTATTGGCCACTTTTACTTTATTTGAATATCTCATAAACTTAATGCACATTAGTGTTGACTTTATACAATATTTTAAATAATGTGCATAAAACGAAGTTTGTAGAATTTTCTTCTTGTAGTGTCATGTTGGTGCTCAAAAAGCTCCAGATTTTGGTTTTTTTGGGAGGAATTGGATTGAGGGGGCATACTTGGGGTCAAACTCAGGGCCTTATACTTACTAGACAGGTGATCTACCCCTGAGCCATACCTCCAGCCCTTCAGATTTTGTAACATTTTGGATTTTTGAATGAAGGTTGTTCAACCTATAATGCCATTATAGGAAAGAAACTTATGCTAAGGCTAGAGAGCTAGCTACCTAGCTTACTTCCTACCTTATGAAGACACAGGAAGAAGACCAAGAACCAACCATATTGCCGCCCTGAGCTCAGATGTACAGCCTCCAGAATTGTGAGAAATAGCTATTTGTTTAAATCACCTACGTGATGGTATTTTGTAAGAGCAGCTGAAACTAAGACAGTGTCCATATCCACACTATGGTCTCTTGAATGCAGTGGTATACATTTTAAAAGATTCTGAGATTTTTACCCTTAAAAAAAAAGGCCATATCATAGGCATTTCTCAAAATCCACCAAACGAGCACAATTTTTATTATCAAAACAAGTTGCATTTTCTGTGTAAAAGATAGCTTCTTATCTGGTGCACGAAAAAGGATTTTGTCTAGATCTTTACAAGTAAACTAGCTTCTGAAGTTTTGCTAAGTACTAGAATTTAGAAAGTACTGCAAAGTAACAAAATTATCCACTAATAGTTGTTCAGATTCTAATGTTTAATATGATCTCTTTGCTTTGATATGAATATAAGTTTACTGTAATATTATTCCTTAAATTCATTTTCTTCATCTTCATTTTTAATCTTTTTTCCTTATTTCAAGAGACTTTTATCTTTAACAATGAAGTGACTTTAGTAGTATACAGATTGTAAAGGATGAAAACAGCAACAGCTCAGGAAGGTCAAATATCCTCCTGCCCATGGGAAGATCTTGTTTAGAGATGTAGGTTTACAGTTTTTTTAAATCAAGATTATCTTTGAGGGTTTTTATTTGTTTGTTTGTTTGCTTGCTTGCTTTTAGGTTTTTTTATGGTGTTGGGGATCAAACTCAACCTTATGCATGCTAAGCAATCACTTTGCCACTGAGTTACCAGCCTTCAATTCTATTTTGATTAGTTGAAACAATGGCATCTTACCCACCCATTTCAAGTTTTTATGTAGATATATCTAGGATGACTTGATATACAAATTTTCTCTAAGTTATTTTTCATTCTCTTCCAAATTTGCTTTAAATTATTTTCTACCTCTTACTTTGCTCCAAATTGCTCTAAATGATTTCTTCTTCCTCTTCTGCTTTTCTTAGTCCT